ATGAGTTATGAGGACAGACTACGTGAACTGCACCTCATGTCGCTGGAAGACAGAAGAGCTAGGGGGAGACATGATCATCACATATACAATTCTCAGGGGAATTGAGAGGTTGGACAAGGATGGATAATTTAACAAGGGTGGGACACGAACAAGGGTACACAGGTGGAAGCTGAGTACCCACATGAGCCACAGAGACAATAGAAAGATTTTTTTTCAGTGTCAGAGTAGTTAACGGATGGAATGCACTAGGCAGTGATGTGGTGGAGGCTGACTCCATACACAGTTTCAAATGTAGATATGATAGAGCCCAGTAGGCTCAGGAACCTGTACACCAGTTGATTGACGGTTGAGAAGCGGGACCAAAGAGCCAGAACTCAACCCCCGCAAGCACAAATAGGTGAGTATAACTAGGTGAGTACATTAGACGCCTATGGAGTGTCGACCCCCCCCCCCCCCCACAAAGATCACGACTCCCCCCCCCACCACCGAGTATGAGATATCAAGACACATATCACACAAGGGGATACACACGCTCAGAAACTGGTGTATATATTATGTATCGGCGTGATCGCAACCACGTTACGAGCTCGTAAGTGCGTTGTGAATGCTCCCCCATCGGCACAGTATCTACACACACACCTGGCTCGCTGAGAACAGTCATATATGCAGTCGTTTCGCCACCCCGTCCTGGATCATTATAATTTTCAGGTGTGTGGTTTGGTCATTATATCTTCAGCCACGTTATTGTGACTCATCGTCAGCATTCACACATGAGTGAGGTGGTGGATGGTGGTTGAGTGTGGTGGTTGATGGTGGTTGAGTGTGGTGGTGGATAGTGGTTGAGTGTGGTGGTTGATGGTGGTTGAGTGTGGTGGTGGATAGTGGCTGAGTGTGGTGGTGGATGGGACAGTAAGAGAGAGAGAACGAAAGTTAAAAAAAGCTAAAATAAATAATAAAATAAGACTATTATTTTACAACATTTTTGGGGATTTTAAAGTAATTTTTCTTCGCGTTCCACATTCATCACCAAATGGTGGCAATTAGCGAATTAAATCCTGCTAATTGTTTCCATCCCGGGATATTGAATGACAAACAACATTTTTACACCTTCATGTCAAGAAAAATATGCATTGAAAATTGTAAATGAAATATTAGTTGGCAATTGTAAGCTCTGTTGATTGTTAACCTTGAACTATTGCATCACAATCTTCAGTGGATTGTGAGATAAGCTGTTAAGAGCCGCTGTTCTCAGATGGGCTTCCTCTTTTTGTCTCTTAATATCAGCAGCATCACTTTCCTCACTCAAACGGTATGTATATGTATGTTTGTATGTATGTATGTATGTATGTATGTATGTATGTATGTATGTATGTATGTATGTATGTATGTATGCATGTGTCTGGAAGGTCTGGAATCATTCAATATTAAAATATAACAACCCATTGGCTCCTAAGAGGAAGACGTAATACATTAAACAAGCAATCCGTCCTCCTAATAGAACGTCGACGCATTTTGACGCATACGTCACCAACGGCTAAAAAAAATCGTCGCACTAGAAAATGGAGCGGCTCACGAAATTGACGTAATGTCTCGTTTTCTGTTATGGGTCCTCTGGTAAGGTTAGGATAATGGAGGGGGCACTTTAATACGTCAGTTTCTTTACGTTGGAAAATCTTAGAACGACTGGATTGAAGCCAGACTTCCACCTGATTGAGCACTCAGAGAGCACTCAGAGAGCACTCAGAGAGCACTCAGAGAGCACTTACTCCTATCGTTCAACAAGCGCTCAACACATGAGCACTCCCTTATCATTGTCCTGTGCACCTGATCCTACCCTTATACCTGTGTCGATCACTTAACCCTATTCTCTTAATTATCAATCGGGAATCATTTTGGCGGAGCGTGCTAATTAGCTCACATATATAGTATAATTACCTCACATATATAGTATAATTAGCTCACATATATAGTATAATTAGCTCACATATATAGTCTAATTACCTCACATATATAGTATAATTAGCTCACATATATAGTATAATTAGCTCACATATATAGTATAATTAGCTCACATATATAGTATAATTAGCTCACATATATAGTATAATTAGCTCACATATATAGTATTAAGTAGTTCCGAATTAGTTTTGTAATTCACTCATGAACTTCAGTTTGGTCAAAATGTAATTAGTTGATTTGTAATGTATACAAGACTGTATTTACTTTGTAACTTACTCTGGCATCATCCTTCGTGTTCCGTGTAAATAAAATTATTCTTATTTTATTATTATTATGAAGAGGCGAATAATAGAGGGACAAATTTTGCTATAATTGTACTGCAGATGTTACTCTCTGGAGGTGAGTCAGTGGGTAAGGAAGCCCTGAGTACTGCAGATGTTACTCTCTGGAGGTGAGTCAGTGGGTAAGGAAGCCCTGAGTACTGCAGATGTTACTCTCTGGAGGTGAGTCAGTGAGTGAGGAAGCCCTGAGTACCGCAGATGTTACTCTCTGGAGGTGAGTCAGTACGTAAGGAAGCCCTGAGTACCGCAGATGTTACTCTCTGGAGGTGAGTCAGTGGGTAAGGAAGCCCTGAGTACCGCAGATGTTACTCTCTGGAGGTGAGTCAGTGGGTAAGGAAGCCCTGAGTACTGCAGATGTTACTCTCTGGAGGTGAGTCAGTGAGTGAGGAAGCCCTGAGTACTGCAGATGTTACTCTCTGGAGGTGAGTCAGTGGGTAAGGAAGCCCTGAGTACCGCAGATGTTACTCTCTGGAGGTGAGTCAGTGAGTAAGGAAGCCCTGAGTACCGCAGATGTTTACTCTCCGGAGGTGAGTCAGTGTGTGAGGAAGCCCTGAGTACCGCAGATGTTACTCTCTGGAGGTGAGTCAGTGTGTGAGGAAGCCCTGAGTACCGCAGATGTTACTCTCTGGAGGTGAGTCAGTGAGTAAGGAAGCCCTGAGTACTGCAGATGTTACTCTCTGGAGGTGAGTCAGTGTGTGAGGAAGCCCTGAGTACCGCAGATGTTTACTCTCTGGAGGTGAGTCAGTGGGTAAGGAAGCCCTGAGTACTGCAGATGTTACTCTCTGGAGGTGAGTCAGTGGGTAAGGAAGCCCTGAGTACCGCAGATGTTACTCTCTGGAGGTGAGTCAGTGGGTAAGGAAGCCCTGAGTACCGCAGATGTTACTCTCTGGAGGTGAGTCAGTGGGTAAGGAAGCCCTGAGTACCGCAGATGTTACTCTCAGGAGGTGAGTCAGTACGTAAGGAAGCCCTGAGTACCGCAGATGTTACTCTCTGGAGGTGAGTCAGTGTGTGAGGAAGCCCTGAGTACCGCAGATGTTAATCTCTGGAGGTGAGTCAGTGAGTAAGGAAGCCCTGAGTACCGCAGATGTTACTCTCTGGAGGTGAGTCAGTGGGTAAGGAAGCCCTGAGTACCGCAGATGTTACTCTCAGGAGGTGAGTCAGTACGTAAGGAAGCCCTGAGTACCGCAGATGTTACTCTCTGGAGGTGAGTCAGTGTGTGAGGAAGCCCTGAGTACCGCAGATGTTACTCTCTGGAGGTGAGTCAGTGTGTGAGGAAGCCCTGAGTACCGCAGATGTTTACTCTCTGGAGGTGAGTCAGTGGGTAAGGAAGCCCTGAGTACTGCAGATGTTACTCTCTGGAGGTGAGTCAGTGGGTAAGGAAGCCCTGAGTACCGCAGATGTTACTCTCTGGAGGTGAGTCAGTGGGTAAGGAAGCCCTGAGTACCGCAGATGTTACTCTCTGGAGGTGAGTCAGTGGGTAAGGAAGCCCTGAGTACCGCAGATGTTACTCTCAGGAGGTGAGTCAGTACGTAAGGAAGCCCTGAGTACCGCAGATGTTACTCTCTGGAGGTGAGTCAGTGTGTGAGGAAGCCCTGAGTACCGCAGATGTTAATCTCTGGAGGTGAGTCAGTGAGTAAGGAAGCCCTGAGTACCGCAGATGTTACTCTCTGGAGGTGAGTCAGTGGGTAAGGAAGCCCTGAGTACCGCAGATGTTTACTCTCAGGAGGTGAGTCAGTACGTAAGGAAGCCCTGAGTACCGCAGATGTTACTCTCTGGAGGTGAGTCAGTGTGTGAGGAAGCCCAGAGTACCGCAGATGTTACTCTCTGGAGGTGAGTCAGTGAGTAAGGAAGCCCTGAGTAACACAGATGTCAGTATCTGACAGCCTTAAGTATCCCAGATGTTGGACCCAGCAGGTGAGTCAATGGGTGAGGAAGCTCTAGCACAGATGGTGGTCCCAAGAGGTGAGTCAGTGAGTAAGGAACGCGTCGGGGGGGGGGGGGTTAGGCTGGTGAGAGTTCTCTTGTTTGCTGAGGAACTTTCAGACGAAATTCGAAGGCTCTTTTATTGTTTTCCTCTTTGGTGATAGTGGTGGTGATGGTGGTGGTGATGGTGGTGGTGATGGTGGTGGTGATAGTGGTGGTGATGGTGGTGGTGATGGTGGTGGTGATGGTGGTGGTGATAGTGGTGGTGATAGTGGTGGTGATAGTGGTGGTGATGGTGGTGGTGATGGTGGTGGTGATGGTGGTGGTGATAGTGGTGGTGATAGTGGTGGTGATGGTGGTGGTGATGGTGGTGGTGATGGTGGTGGTGATGGTGGTGGTGATGGTGGTGGTGATAGTGGTGGTGATGGTGGTGGTGATAGTGGTGGTGATAGTGGTGGTGATGGTGGTGGTGATGGTGGTGGTGATGGTGGTGGTGATAGTGGTGGTGATGGTGGTGGTGGTGAGGTGTTAAGGGTGGTATCTCTGGTGATGGTATAACTAGTGGTAGGAGTAGTTGGTAGTGCAAGTCCACTACGGGCTCACCATACCCCGTGCTACTTGCCCCCGCTCCTGTGCCAGGCAAGTTACGGGCTCACCATAGCCCGTGCTACTTGGAACTTGTTCCGAGTAGCTGAATCTATAACAACAACAGTGATAGTGATGGTATCAATGATGATGGTGTGGGAAGAGGATATACAATGTGAGTGAATATCTCCCATGATAAGCAAGAGTATTGAATTCCTCACAGATCGTCAAGCAAGCAAGCAAGAGGCACCTCAGAACACAAGCAAGCAAGAGACACCTCAGAACACAAGCAAGCAAGAGAGACACCTCAGAACACAAGCAAGCAAGAGACACCTCAGAACACAAGCAAGCAAGAGAGACACCTCAGAACACAAGCAAGCAAGCAAGAGAGACACCTCAGAACACAAGCAAGCAAGAGACACCTCAGAACACAAGCAAGCAAGAGACACCTCAGAATACAAGCAAACAAGAGACACCTCAGAACACAAGCAAGCAAGAGAGACACCTCAGAACACAAGCAAGCAAGAGAGACACCTCAGAACACAAGCAAGCAAGAGACACCTCAGAACACAAGCAAGCAAGCAAGAGACACCTCAGAACACAAGCAAGCAAGAGAGACACCTCAGAACACAAGCAAGCAAGAGAGACACCTCAGAACACAAGCAAGCAAGAGAGACACCTCAGAACACAAGCAAGCAAGAGAGACACCTCAGAACACAAGCAAGCAAGCAAGAGACACCTCAGAACACAAGCAAGCAAGCAAGAGACACCTCAGAACACAAGCAAGCAAGAGACACCTCAGAACACAAGCAAGCAAGCAAGAGAGACACCTCAGAACACAAGCAAGCAAGCAAGAGACACCTCAGAACACAAGCAAGCAAGCAAGAGACACCTCAGAACACAAGCAAGCAAGCAAGAGACACCTCAGAACACAAGCAAGCAAGCAAGAGAGACACCTCAGAACACAAGCAAGCAAGAGACACCTCAGAACACAAGCAAGCAAGAGAGACACCTCAGAACACAAGCAAGCAAGAGAGACACCTCAGAACACAAGCAAGCAAGCAAGAGACACTTCAGAACACAAGCAAGCAAGCAAGAGACACCTCAGAACACAAGCAAGCAAGAGAGACACCCCAGAACACAAGCAAGCAAGCAAGAGACACCTCAGAACACAAGCAAGCAAGCAAGAGAGACACCTCAGAACACAAGCAAGCAAGAGAGACACCTCAGAACACAAGCAAGCAAGCAAGAGACACCTCAGAACACAAGCAAGCAAGCAAGAGAGACACCTCAGAACACAAGCAAGCAGCTCAGGCAAGCACAACACAGCTTAACAGTCCCAATAAGCACAAACACTTGGAGCTACAAGATACCTTATCTCCGAGAGAGACAACTACAAGGAAGCTTAACAGAATCTTAACTAACCAACTTATAACCAGCTTCCTCGAGTCCCCCCCAAGATGTACCCCGCTGATAACCTGTAAATAAGATTGCATTTAAGCCTGGAGAAAATATTGGGGGTGTATATATCGAGGCTCTAGCGCCTGGGCCCCCTGACTCATTGCTAGCCTATTGTACACCTTTTCTGGTTAGCCTGTTCCCGATTTCCTTCGTCTAGGAAGGTAAGTCCAATCCCCTCCCCCTCCCTTACCTTCCTCAGTCCTTCCTACAGGCGTGTGTCTCGCCTACGCTATAAAACAGATACGTATCATTTACCCATATATAGGCAAGCCTCCCCAATTTAGGAGTGGGTAGGGTAGGTATGGGGGTAGAGAGGGGGAGAAAGCTATGGGGCTTCACTGATGGAGGAGGAGTGACGGAGGGGGGGGGGGAGTGACGGCCCGATGCTATGGGAAGATTACTCCAAGATGACACCCCCCCCCTCCCCCTCCTCTCCGTCTCTCTTTCACAGCCCAAGAGCCTCGATATTCTGGACGGAAATTAAATATGAATACCGGATATGTATTCCAGTATTCCTTCAAATATGAATACCGGATATGTATTCCAGTATTCCTTCAAATATGAATGCTGGAACGCTTGATATATATATTGGACTTGTACCCAAGATTGACTATGTAATACATCAGTTATACCATGTTTGTGATGTAACTATAACCTGAGGTTGTTAACGCACCCTAATCACCTTCAGTGGTTACGTGTTTAATAACACACTAGTTTATATAGCATCAACCTTAATCTGTGTAAATAAGAGAGACATAAATGTATTTATATGTGTGTATGTATGTATGTGTATATGTATGTGTATATATATGTATGTGTGTGTATGTATGTGTATATGTTTGTATATGTATTGACCTAGTTGTGCTTGCGGGGGTTGAGCTCTGCTCTTTCGGCCCGCCTCTCAACTATCAATCAATCAACTGTTACTATTTCTTTTCCACGCACACACACACACACACACACACACACACACACACACACACACACACACACACACACACACACACACACACACACACACACACACAAGTTAGGGCCAGTCCCTAACCTGCATACCATGCAAGATGATGGAGAAGATTGTGCGAAAAAACTAGTGGAATATCTGGAGCGAAGGAACTTTGTAACACATCAGCATGGGTTCAAGGATGGCAAATCATGCCTAACAGGATTAATCGAATTCTATTACCAGGCAACACAAATCAAGCAAGAAAGAGAGAGGGCTGAGCAGACTGCATATTTTTGGATTGCCAGAAAGCCTTTGACACAGTACCACATAAGAGACCAGTGCACAAGCTGGAGATACAGACAGGAGTGAAAGGGAAGGTACTCCACTGGATAAGGGAGTACCTAAGCAACAGAAGACAGTTACTGTGAGAGGGCAACCCGTTCTCGCACTTTCGTATAGTCAATATAGACTTTTAAATACGTGCATATATGACATACTAATTTATTGTGAATATTTTAGTTTACCTTGAAAAGCTTTATAGAAAACACCGATCTTACCTAACCTTCTTAGTATGTTAAGATAAGCATCTTATTACTTCGTAATTACAATTATTACTTAACCTAGGAGCCGGTCGGCCGAGCGGACAGCACACTGGACTTGTGATCCTGTGGTCCCGGGTTCGATCCTGGGCGCCGGCGAGAAACAATGGGCAGAGTTTCTTTCACCCTATGCCCCTGTTACCTAGCAGTAAAATAGGTACCTGGGTGTTAGTCAGCTGTCACGGGCTGCTTCCTGGGGGTGGAGGCCTGGTCGAAGACCGGGCCGCGGGGACACTAAAGCCCCGAAATCATCTCAAGATAACCTCGAGATAACCTATTGTAGGTATAGGTTAAGTAATAATTGTAATTACGAAGCAATAAGATGCTTATCTTAACATACTAAGAAGGTTAGGTGAGGTCGGTGTTTTCTATGAAGCTTTTCAAGGTAAACTAGTATGTTTAGCATGTCACATATGCACGTATTTAATAAGTCAATATTGACTATACGAAAGTGCGAGAACGGGCTGTCCATTGATATATTGCGAAAATGTTGTATAACATGTATGATCTGTATACACTGTATGATGTATCCACACATTTTCCTCATGTGGTGGTGAAGAATACATTGTTTAGTGATGAATACGACCATCAGGTTCCGTGGATGGAAGCCACATGTACCACCTGGCCAGGGCATGTACTTTGACCTCTCCTGCAGGGGACCGCAAGACTCGGTGTCGCTAAACACACTCGCCCAGAGAGATGAATGTTGCAAGACGGGTACTTTAATATATTGTCTTTAATATCTTTGTCTTAATATGTACTTAATATGTACTTTAATATATTGTCTTAATATGTCTTCATTGTTGCACCGAGCGATGGAGGGAAAAAAATGTAAGCTGAGTGAGTTTTGTCATATTTCACCTCCAAGTTAAAAAAGGAAAAAATTATTAATGTCATAAATTTTCACCTGAAATGTTGCGTCTCTCATGTTTTAAGCTGTATTGCGTCAGCAGTAAATAGGTACCTGGGAGTTAGTCAGCTGTCACGGGCTGCTTCCTGGGGGTGGAGGCCTGGTCGAGGACCGGGCCGCGGGGACACTAAAGCCCCGAAATTATCTCAAGATAACCTCAAGGAAGGGCAGCAGCTTGACGCAATGTAGCTTTAGCTTGGGCATCATGATGTAGTATAGCGCACAGTAGCAGAACGCAGCTTTCTAGAAAGTACACAGTTTAGCTGAAGACAGTACTTAGCTTGCTTAACAGAATAAAAAGTATGCGCTTATCTTATATGTGGTATGGGTCTCCCATACCCATCCTGTGGGTGGTAGTGGAGCCTATATCAATCCTGTGGGTGGTATAGTGGCCCCCATACCCATCCTGTGGGTGGTAGTGGACCCCCATACCCATCCGGTGGGTGGTAGTGGACCCCCATACCCATCCTGTGGGTGGTAGTGGTCCCCATACTCATCTTGTGGGTGGTAGTGGACCTCATACCCATCCACTCAGGCCAGGTTACTCTTCTGATGGACTCATAAAGCTGTCTTTAAAATGTTATGATGGAATTTTTGAGTTTCATCCCTTACTCCAAAATTTTCTCTCCCCTACTCCCATATTTCCTCCCGATATATATTTTCTAATCCCTCATATTTTCTCCTCTCATATTTTAATACTCCTCTCATAATTTTTCCCTCTCATATTTTCTCCCGTTCTATTTTATACCCCCCTCTTATATTTCCTCCCAGTCTCATATTTATTTTTTCCCCCATATATTTTATTTGTAACTCACACATTTCCCCTGTATTGTTTTCTCATTCGAATTTTCTACCAAGCTCATTTTCACCCCCCTGTATATTCCCCGCCCCTTCCCCTCACCCATATTTCCCCTGCCCCCTAATAAAGATCCTGGGCCCAGTGACCTCATTCTCGTGTGATGTAGTGCTATACAATACTCTTCTTTATTGAACTACAAGATGGGACGCCGTGGAATTCATCTCGTAAAGGAGAGAACCCTTCCCCCCCCCCACCCCTGCTTGCTTGATACCTGCTTGATGGGGTTCTGGGAGTTCTTCTATACTCCTCAAAGCCCGGCTCGAGGCCAGGCTTGACTTGTGAGAGGTTGGTCCAACAGGCTGTTGCTTGTAGCGCCCCGCACATCCACCACAGTGCCGGTTGGTCCGGCACTCCTTGAAGAAGTGATGACAGTGATTTCCAGGGCACAAAGCCTGGGATCAATATGGAGGAGAAGCTGTTACCCATGCAGCAGGTCCACCCTCTCCACGTTGCTGAAATTATCCAATGGAAAGGCGACGCCAATACACATGGTTCCAGTACCGTCGCAGGAGCTGCCAGAACGAGGTCGAAGTCAACAACGAACTGCCATAGGGGCTCGAACTCTGGATTTTTCCTCGAGGCTGACTCTTGAAGCCTTTCCCAAAAGAGGAGAATGGTCTTAAACTTATCTTAAACCTCCGCAAGGCAGCGGAGATCAGGCAGTTTAAAATCAGGGTTTTCCTTTCCCTAGATGGGCTGCTTTCCCAGGCTATCGAGTCCCATCTACCCGGAGCAGCTGGTTTTAAGGCGCCAGAGGCACGCCCTCGCCCCTTCTCCTGTCGGTAAAAGCAGTTCCGCCGGACTTAAAGACTAAGCCACCCGTGCAGGCCAGGAGTTGGACTTGGTGGTCAGGGGCTATTTGACACGCATGCCGTACGGGAGTTTTTTTATAGGTAATGGGAGCTCGTCCCCCATTACGACCCCTTGGAACCAAGGGCTGAAGTGGTATACACGACCATTTCAAACGTAGCAGCTACGTCTGAAACGTCAACCCGTCCTCTTAATAGCACGTCGCATTTTGACGTATACTCCACCTAAGACCCCAAAAAAATCGACGTACTAGAAAATGGCAGCGGCCCGCGAAGTTGACATACTGCCCCGTTTTCTGTTTTGGGTCCGCTGGTAAGGCTAGGATAACGGGGCACTTTAGTACGACAGTTTTTCGACGTTGGGACGTTTTAGGAGGCCGGGCTGAACTCCTGGGCTCAAAAGAAATGGTGAAATCAGTGTACATGAGCCCGCGACGATG